CCCCCCCCCCCCCCAAACCCCTACCCCACCCATCACCTGAGTCACAGTCTCACAAGTACGAAAACTGGTCACTGGTGTAAGAAATTAAACCACTGACTTCATGACGATTATAATTCACACGGGCATCGAGGCATCAGTTCTCCCAACTAGGTTTTTGGCTTGATATCAAAATGCTGACACAGAAGAAAATTCATGAGACGTGATGCAGCTGAATGATGTAAATTGTTGTGACAATTCCACCAAATGTTAATATTCGGTGGAGTTAAAGTTGATGTTATTATGATAATTACACTGAATTTTGACATTTATCAATAAAGACGTAATAATAATAATAATAATAATAATTCGAATAATAACCCTGGAAGTAGGTTCAGCAGTCTCATTGACGAGTAAAAAAAAGAAAAAATAATAATAATTACAATCGTTATCAATTGTAGTAATGAAAATTCTTACGCAGAAAAAAAATTTATGAGGCATGATGCAGGTGAGCGAAGAAAATTGTTCTCAGCACTGTTATTTTGGAAGAACATTTGTCGAGAGGTAAACGAGGATCAAAAAGCTTAACATTAGGTGGAATTGTCACAAAAATTGTAATTTGAAGGAAAAATAATATTTATGAATGAGAATGGAATTGAAATGAATTCGGTGGAATTACAATTATTGATAATTGCGGTTATCAAAATGCTGTCACAGGAAAATTCATGAGGCACAATTCAGGTGAATGAAGGAAATTGTTGTAGCATGTCCCAAAGAATCATTTCTACAGCCAAAAAAAATAAATCATGAATTTATGTTATAAATGCGGAGAACTTATTTTTGTAATTTCTCGAGCTCCGAACGAGAATAAAAAGTGATTAACATTCAATTAATTCGATTAATATTCGCTGGAATTGTCACAGAAATTGTAATTTCAGGGAAAAATATTTTTTATGAATCGCAAAATATTAATCTTTTACGGAATTACAAAGATGAGCCACATCCATAAATCAATCAATTTACTATTCATCAATTAATTAATAAATAATCAAATTAATATACTCAATCAATTTATTATTAAGCAATTAATTGTTCATTATAGTTAACAAAATGCTGATGCAGAAAAAAAATTCACGAGGCATAATTCAGATGACTGACGAAAATTGTTAAAATTCAGCGGAATAATCACAACAATTGTATCTTCATGGGAGAATAATTTTTGATGGATGACACAGAAGGTGAAGGATGCACGTGCAATCGATCGGATATCACCCGATAACCCACCCCCTCGCCCCCCTTATCAATTCACGCTCTGATAATTTTTTTCAGTGATACAAATCGTCCTGCAGGACTCCGCAGTGGATAAGCCAAATATTTCCCTTTTCGCTTTCATTCGGTTCTGATCGGATGTTTTTTCATGTTCGACTTACCGATTTTCTTAATGCACAGTGTTCACGAATCCAAGATAATTCACACTGAAATGTCAATATTAATGTTCATGAATAACGTAAAAACATCACTGGATTTTTTTTATGAACTTGTTATGTAGGTCGAGGGAATTTTTAACTTGGGATTCGGTGAATTGAATTGTGGGAAGTGATTCGAGGGTTTTACTGATGGATTTCAGGCACTGATAACCGATAAATCGTTGATGATTGTTCGAACTATGTTGATATTGTTTCGGATGTGTTGGAGGCTTCGCGGCGAGTATCACACTGAGGGGTTGGAAATTCAAGTTGATCCGCAAGCGGTTGCAACCACTACACCACCGCCACCCCACGGCTTTGTTTCACGACTGAATAAACTGTCGATCCAATGACTCGTGGATAATTTTAATAATTTCATCGGGTCGATTATGGGGGAGTTTACGAAAGGGATGTGAAGGACGTTGTGGAGGGCCGGGGAAATGGCTGGTGGCATGCGATTATTGTTTATTTTGTTTATTTTTTACTTTTTTTTTATGGAAGAATTTTACTGGGGGGGAGTTCTGGGGGAAGATGTCTAATTAAAGTTACTCATGAAAGGAGAATACAGTTTTACGTCAGAAATTTCAATGCGGAGTATTTTTTATTCAGGTTGATAGGAGATATCAATTCATAAATCATGGATTTTATACAAAAATTTCATATTTATTGAAATTTTTATCAAGGAGCAGTTCCACTGAAATTTTTTGGAATTTGATCAATGAAAATTCACTCTTTAATGAAAAATTTAATGGAATGTTTAAATTTCAGGTAAATTATTGTATGAAAATTTAGGTCGATTATGGGGAAGATTATGAAAGGGATGTGAAGGACGTTGTGGAGGGGTTGAGGGAATGGATGATTATTATGCATGCGATTATTATTTACTTTGGTTATTTTTTAAATTTTTTTAATGGGAGAATTTTATTAGGAGGGCGATTCCGGGGGATCTATTTAATTAAAGTTGCTGCTGAAAGAGAGTACACAGTTATACCGCGATATAGCCACTATGTTCTAGAAAAAAAAGAGGCAGATTTTTTTTTTAGAATTCCAAGAAACTTGGAATCCATTTTTCCCAAAAATCACTTGCCTTCGATATAAATATGGGCTGAATTTTTCTCATTTTTATTATTAATTCCCATGAAATAATTAAACAAAAGCATCCTCCATTGATTTTTCCATAAAATTTTAAGTTCTTTATCACAAAATTCCTTAAAATTTTAGTGGAATTTGAATGCAATGAAAATTTCCAACAAATGTACGTAAAATTTCACCCAGAAGTTCCTCACAATACACTATTCCACGACAATTCCACAAAAAAATCGTCGTCAATTGCAAAAAATGGCCACAAAATCAATCAATCCATCATCACGACCCCTAATTAATAAAAAAAAACCCCGAGGGTTTCTTCATCCCCAATTTCAATCAAGCCACTGTCGAGTTCTTTGTGACCCAGGAACCATCTGCAGTCCCCGGAAATTGAAGTTATTTCCCTCAGTTGAGACTCCCGACACTTTTCAAGCCGAACTAGGCTTATTTCTTTCATTCCACCTGTTCAGCGGAGACAAAACATCCCCCCAGTGCCATTGTCGTGGCTCGAGACTCAAAGGCTTTGGTCGGTTTCTTTTTGCTATTGTGGGAGACTTCCAAGACTCAAGCTGTAAAATTTATCACCTCGTTTGATGCTCCCCGCACTGAAACGGAATTTCCAACCCGCAAATGTTATATTTTGTTCTCTCTATTGTTCGAGTATCAGGTGATAATGGATATCGCACTCCATAATTATTGTATTCTCATCGCACAATGCCGAGGCATTGACACTCTTCGATATGAAACACTAGAATGAAAATAAAATAATTATGTGAAATGACATTTTCACCACTTGTGCGTAAAGTGAAATCTCACGCAAATTTTAATAATCAAAGAATTTTCATCTGAAATTTGGAGGCCATTATCATCGATTGTTGTACACTCTGAACAGTCCTTCAGCAATAAAGTCTATCAATAAGCCCACACGTGTCCAAATATTTCAGAAACTACTCGATTCCTCGAAAAATGCGAAAAGACATTCTTTGCACCTCTTACAATCCTCCCCAAAAATCTCATCACACTCCACAATCATTGCATTCTCACCGTACAACGTCGAGGCATCGACACTCGCCAAAACGAAACACTAAAACAAAAATAAAATAATTATCTGAAATTATTTTTTTACTGGCTTCCTGGGAAAACTGCACTCGGAATTTCCATTTTTTTCGTATCGCCGCACGTGTTCACCAATGACATAAGAGAATACCGATTGATAACGATTTTCCGATAATTCCGGTGGTGCATTTTGTCATTCAGGAGAAGTAGTTGTGCTGACGTCGGTCGTTCGACTATTGTTTAAGGACGTGTTTATGCGAAAAGACGTTTCGGCGATTGTTTTTAACGGCATATAAGGCAGGCACGGTGAGAAGTCAGTAGTTTTTTTCAGTATGGAGCTTCAAAGTGTCTGTCTGCCACTCATCTTTTCAGGTCGTAAGTGCATCTAGTGATATTTTGATGGAGTAAAAGTTTATTTGGAATTTTTCTCATTCGTTTCAACAATATTTTCGTTCGAAATTGATTCACTTATGTAATTATTTCAATGGAGATGTTTGGATTTTATGGAATAAATAAGTAATTAAATAAATTAATTTACTTAATTCAATTCACTTAATTCATACAAATGAAGAATTATTAGACACAAAGAAATTCTGGGAAAGATTTATTTGTATTAAAAAAATTATACGTTTCATTTGAATCAAATTTATTCAATTAAATTAAACCATTCTTCTAAGTTTACATCCAGAGAAATGACACAATTGAACAAAAAAACTCTTCATTTGAAATTTTCTTATTCGTTTCAATAATATTTTTGTTGAAAATTAATGAACTCATGTGTTTATTTCAATGAAAATGTTTTAATTACATAAACGAAATAATTCAGTTATTGCAAATAAATCCTGTGTTGTAATAAAATAAACGATTTATTTCATAAAAAGTAAGAATTATTACATATCAATAAAAAATCTAATTAATAAAGTCTCCATTTGAAAATTACAGAGTTTTTTTGTATTGAAAAAACTATTCATTTCATTCAGATAAAATTTATTTAATTAAAATATTTAAACCATTTCTCTAGGTTCGCAATGTTTGACAATGCTTACAATATTTACAATTGAAAAAAAAAACTTTTATTTTACAAATTTTCAGAAATTAAAAAAATTTTCATTATTCATTCCCAAGAGGAAAATCTGTGAAAGGAGATTTTTCCTTTCAATTCCATTAAAACCACGAGAAAACCAATTTCGTTCCTAAAAACTTGCCATTTAATCCCTTTAATCCACCCAAATTACTCAATTCATCAATTACTTAATTATCTCAAATAATAAAATGTGTTCTCAAATGCCGAACAATCCCCTTAATTCAAGAACATTTCCTCAATCGTCATTCACCTCTAATAGTCCCAAAAATATTTAATCACCCTGTTTTTCACAGTAGTTCCCCTATTCTTGGAATGTGAATCGATATCCGGCGGCATAAATTTGGACATAGCTCAGGCGCCTTTCATGGTGAGTTTGAAAACTCCTAAAAAATCTATGGCCAATATTTCAAGGAACAATCGGACCTATTAAAACCTGCAAATCACGTAGTAAAGAATTTCCGGTTTAATCTGTTGTGCATTACAATCGTGCTTATCTGATCAGTGAAATTACATGGCACTGCGTTATTTCAGTTGTCCTTGAGGCGAAATGGGGAGCACGTTTGCGGCGCCGCGGTCATTAGTCCAGACTGGGGTATAACGGCTGCGCACTGCTTTCCCCTGTAAGGTTTTTCCCTTAAAATTTTGAATCCACGAGATTCATTTCGTGTCGCTCGAACGGATATTGTTTTTTATCTATTATTGATCATTTTTTTGAATTATGAAGACCGAAAGCCGCCTTCACCGTGCGAAGCGGCTCGGTCCAGAGGGACAGTGGAGGCATGCTTCATGATGTCACGGAGCGTTTTACGCATCCGAAGTACGCGAAGAATAGCCAGGATTATGATATAGCGGTTTTTAGGGTGGATCCACCCTTTGAAATGAGTGAGACAACAGCAGCCATTGAATTACCACCGAAGACTAGTGTAGAATTGAGGACTAGGTGGGCTAGTATCGCTGGATGGGGTGCTGTACCGGTAAAATTTATTTAATTATTTACTTATTCATTCATTAATTAATTCATTTATACATTCATTCATTCATTTATTTATTTATTTATAGAACCAACGTCAATTATAGGATCAAAAATTATGATTGTAAAATCCAAAAAAGCAGAAATCAACTGAGCAATTCCATTTTTCTACAAATGAGTATAGTTATTGTTGCTAATAAATTAGCAATCTGCTTCCGAATGGCTTCTCTTTTTTTAAATTCTTGTTTCACTATTATCTTTCTCTATTTTTCATGTACAGCCACCTGCCGTCATTAGAAACAATTTAAATTTGATTTTTTCTCTTGTTTCGAATATAAAAAATAAGTACCAAAGTCATCTGTGTGATAGTCGCAACCCCTGCGACTTTCAAACTTCACCAAGATCACGTTCGAAAGATAATGCACGCGGGCCTCACATTTTTTCACGCCTGAATCCTTGAATTCTTCATTAAAAAACAAAATAATTTCATTGCATAATTAATCCAATTATTATGACAGACGCAAGAGGATGATAACGATGCGACTTCAAAGAATCTGAAATACGCATTGGTACCAAGGATACCGGACGATATTTGTGCTGAGAACTACAAAGCCGTGCACGCCTTGACCCCTCGACAGATATGTTATGGGTATCAGGAAGGGGGAGCTGACACTTGCAAAGTATTTTCGATCAGCCAAACGTTTTCAATAACGAATAATCATGAGATCTGTTTGTCTTTATTAAAAACGAATTGTTTTTATTAATAACGAATTGTTTTTATTAACTAGGGTGATTCTGGGGGACCTCTCTACAACACTGATAACATTCTGATTGGAATCACGTCGTGGGGGGATACCTGTGGCGAGAAATATACTCCTGGAGTCTACATGGATATCACCTTAGTAATGGATTGGATCCACAACGTCACCGGTATTCGATGATGTATTGTGCATTGCAAGAAATTTCTCCCAAAAATTGAATAATTTATTGTTGAGAAAAATTTAGCAACTGTTACTCATTAATAATTCATTAATCATTTAATTGTTCTTTAATGTCTTCGAAAAATTAATGAAACGTTTTCTGTCACTGATTTACTTCCTCAAGTCGGCAGAAATATTTTGCTTGATGTAGCATTTATTCATAGTATATTATTAGAAAATATGATAACAAAATCGTTATATTTAAAATAATGAAATTTTATTATCTATAATTAATCATCATTATCACATTATGTAATAAAAATATTGTACTTCACAAAGTATTGTCAATTTTTCGAGTGACTACTCACACTTTTATCACTTCTCCATTACGAAACGCACAGTCTTCCCATCCCCCTCAATGACAATTTCCGCATCTTTGTACTTCAGGAGATTGCTGGTCTTCTGAATGTTCCACTCCGTGTACCCATTCTCATAGAATTCCGGGAGTGTATTCATACCGGCTAGAGTGGCTAATTGATTATTGTACTTCCACTGGCGATTTCCCAGGACGTGTCCATGACGTTTTTCACTGAAAGGTCTTGTGTCCACGAGCATAATTTCTTTGGAGGGCAGGTCAATCGTGCCCCTTAATAAGGCCAGGAAAAATGCGACCTGAAAAAATTTTCATTAATAAATAAATAAGTGGGTAATTTTTTTCGGCACTACATAGTCAATATATTTTCGTAATAAATTGGCCATTTAGTTCCAAATGGAATTTCTACGACGATGTATTTTAAATTGAATTCAACATTGTTCCGGCGTTGGCCGCCAAAATTGCCCCAACGTTGGCGTGCCAATATTACCCGAACGTTGGTGTGTCAATATTAGCCGAACGTTGGCGTGCCAACATCGCCCCAACGTTGGCAGCCAACATTGGCTCAGCGTGCCGACATTCCCCCAACATTGTCAAGCAACATTACCCCATTTTTGATCTTTATGAAGTTGTTTTATTTTTTCTTTTCTTTTCAGGAAATAAATTGTATGGAAAAATGAAAATCTATTGATTTTTTTCTCTACAATATTTTCTCATCAACATTTGAGTTAAAAAAACACGTGGTAATAAAATGAATAGAAAAAAATAGGGGAATTTATATTCATCCAACAACACTCACCTGCAGATGAAACAGCGGGAAAGGAATGACTCTCGAGGGTAATCCCACAAGACACATCTTGGGATGCTCAATATTAATCAAATGCTTCCACAGAGGGGTAACAAAATTATCATCAACCCTGACTTTGCACTCCTCATGTAAAAACGGAAATGCGAATTCGTATCCCGTGCAGTATAGGAGAGCATCAGCAGTCAGAACAGTTCCATCTTTGAGAGTGAATTTATCTCCATCTATGGATTCGACTCCCATGACTTGTGACATATTTGTCAGTAATGGACTCTCTAATCTAAATGGAACAAGATTTCATTTCCGGACAGAATTTGATCCTCGGATATAAATTCATGTCAGGACAAGAATTTATGCCCGAACAGGCATTTATTTTCAGACATAAGTCATGAATTTATATTCAAACAGGAGTTAATTTCCGGACAGAATTTTAGTTCTAGACAGGAATTCATGTCTGGATAGGAATTTATATTCGGACAGGAATTCCTTCCAGACAGACATTGACTTTCAGACATATGCACGGGCCAATGCAGGAATTCATGTTAAGACAGGAATTCATGTCTGTGGAAGAATCTGTTTCCAGTAAAAAATCGACCTTCAGACATAAATTCATGGTTATCAGACACCAATCAGGCATGATTTTTTTTCCCGGACAGGAATTTATTTCCAGACAGGAATTTATGGACACCGTGACTTGTATTGATATCAAAAGTACCTAGCTATGAAATTAACTGTTGTATTGCGGTATTACCTGGGGCCATTGTGGCTCAAATAAACAAAATTAGCGTGACTAGCAATCTCTATTCCAATATCGACGCCAGAGGGACCAGCCCCGAGGACAATGACCGTTTTTCCATCATAAATATCAGGCTTCCTGTATTCATGACTGTGCATTGCATCCCCCGGGAATGTCTCGATTCCAGTTATTTTCGGGACACTTGGAACTGCGTAATGACCATTGCAGACCATAATAGCATCGAACACTCTCTCCTCCTCAATGTTAGTTTTCAAATTTCTAATTGTGACCCTCCAAGTGGTTTCTCTCCAATTCCCATTGACTATCGGTTGAACGCACTCGACGATTGTATTGAACTACCATCCAAATGTTCATTGATTCAAATGACGGTTCAGCTAATAGAAGGGAGCAATTAAGATTACCTGAATGAATCTGCGGATTGCGAAGTGATCGGCGTAAGCATTGAGGTAATCCAGGATCTGTTGGTGGGTACCACAACTTGGACGGGTTTGATTCATTATTTGGTAATCCGGAAAGTTCATCAGTTTAGTCGGGAAGTTGGTTCTGTTGTTGAATAGATGTTTCTAATTATGAATGGACTTGTGGCATTCGTGGGAAGAGATGGTGAATAGAGTCATTGTTCCATTTGTGCAAATGGGGAATTTATTCAATGGCAATGAATTGGATTGTCTTTTTTCTCAATTGTCTCCATGGACAGAACAGAATTCTTTTCCGAACAGAATTTGCTTTCGAATTTTTGTTATTTTCCATCGAGATTTTTAGACAGGAATGGATTTATAGGCAGGAATTTATTTCCAGACAGAATTTCACTTTCGGAGATAAATTCATATTCGCATATGAATTTATGTCCAAGAAGGAATTTACTTTCAGACATACATTCATATCCAGACGCGAATTTAAGCACGGGCAGCAATTCATCTCCAAACATGAATTTATATTTGGACAGGAGTTTATGTTTGAACAAGGATTTATTTACAGACAAAATTTGACCTTCAGACATGAATTCATCTCCAGACAGAAATTTATTCCCCGATATGAATTTATGGCCGAATAGAAATTTATTCCCAGATATAAATTTATGTCTGGGCAGGCATTTATTTCCCTGTGTGAATTCATGTCGAGAGAGGAATTTATTTCCGTGTGAATTCATGTCCGGACAAGAATTTATTCGCAAATTAATTTCCAAATATGAATTGAGTTCAGACAAAAATTGAAAAGTGAAAAATTGAATTCCACACATGAAATTCGTGTCTTGACATAGAATTAATTTCCGTCACACAACTCCAAAACTTCTCCAATTTACCCCAAAAAATGAAAAAAAAAATCAAACTTTTTCTCACCACACAATTACCTCAAATTTTTATACATACTGGAATGAATAGGCAAACCATAATCATCCTTTCCAGTTTCATCCACATACACCCAAGTACCTCCCACCTTATCCGACAATTCAAAAACAGCGGGCTCGAAGTGCACTAGATCACTAGAAAGATGTCGAACTGCGCATAAACCAGCAGCTCCAGCGCCAATGACACACACCCGCATTTTTTTATGGACACTCCCACCAATCTCCATATCCACACTTTATGGCTGGAATCTACCAGCTGAAAACTTTATGATTAAAAACACCCGAAAAGCAAAAAGTCCGTTATCAGACAGTGGAATTGGAAGGGAAAAAAAAATTCTCTATGAATTGTGCGACCCTCGGGAGTCGACTGGAATTAGCCGCACGATGACACGATTTTATGTGTTTGGGTCACTACTTGCCTCTGGGAAATTAAATAACCCCAGATGTGCAGCCACTCTGCAGTGGTGGGAGAGTATCTTGCACATTGTAACATACTTATCTTTGAATCGCAGATAAAATTATCACTACTAGATAAATAGTCCCAGCGCTAAAACGGATTGTGATATTGTGATAATAATCGCAGGAATGCAATAATAGCATTAAAATATTTATTACTCTTCTCTTCATAACATGATAATACCTCGTAATTAATGGGAAATTTATTGAAATAAATTGAATAATATTGAACTTATCATTGTATCCAGTTCTGAGCAAGTTATTATAATTCTTTATCATTCTATGTTACATTTTTTACGGTTTCCACTCAATTATCCTCTACTCATCCCTCGAATCTCATTTTTATTTTGGAGAGAACCAAAGAAATTTGTCTTTTTATCATTTCAATCTCATTCTCTCCATTTTCACACTTCCACATTATTTATGCATTGCTCAGCAGCACTGTAGTCATAACATGGTACATCGTTGTGCTGAACGTAGTATGCAAAGACAGATGAACTAAATTTTCGAAAGAATTTGTTCATTCGTCTTGGCGAAATACAGCAGGAGAAGTGATTAAATAAGCACAACTGCTTAACTAAGTCCTTTACAAAATTTCCTGCTGTACATCGGATGAATATTATTTATGTACAAGAGCAACAATTGAAGAAATATTGTTAATCAATGACCTCAGGCGTCATTGGGATTTATTGAATCAGCATAATGCATCTTTCTGGTTTGTTATCGGTGAAAGATTCATGATGTTCAACAGATATTCTTTGTCGGTTCAATTTTGAAATTTTAGATAGAAGAAATAACATCAATGCGTTAACAGTTCCATTCGAGGATATAAATATACAAAACAAAGTGTTAAATCTACAGTAAGGGGAAGAATTATGACGAGAACGATTCGAATTAGTGGATTAATACAGAAAATTCAATGGAATGAAGTTCAACTTTGAATTAGTTTCTGTTGCAGAGGTAACGTGATTCGAGTGTTAGAAACTTCATTTCTTATTGATTGTTTTATTCATTTTTGTCCGGAGAAAATGATGGCGTTCATCTGAAATTTACAGAGAATGTTTATAGTGGCAATTGGATTGTAGTTGAATTTTTTAGAATTGTTTAAAGAAATTACTGTGAATGTTAATAACTTGGAGACGTAATCTGGAATAATTCTTAAAAAATTCATACATAATCTAACAACTAGGATGAACGTCCCATAAACATTTCGAATCAATGTCATCATTTTTTTTACAGATTAAACCCCTCAAGACCTTGTCTGCAGAAATTGTAATCCCATTCTAATTACACGATGTATATATTGAATTCCACTAAATTGAAATGTGCCGATTCAATGACACATTGTGCAATCTGAATTCCACATTGTATAATTCAAACTTGTGAATGTGCAATTTTTTGTGTGCAATAAAATCCACCAATTCGTGTCTGCATTTCATATATTTTGACAGTAAAAAAAAACTTGAATTATACATTTTGAATTGGGAACAATAAATTAAATGTCTACAAGTTTGATGTGTACAATGTGGAATTGAGATCGCACAATGTGTAATTGGTACAGTACCTCATAATTCAATCCAATCCGGTATGCAAATCGTCTGATTAGACTCTGGCAATTACAATTTTTCAAGATAAGGATTAGATTCAATACAAAACACCAAACGTGTCAAAAAATTAATTCGCATCGGTGCTGAAGTATGCCACTATTTTTGGTCTATCGTTATAATTTCTCGTTAATGCCATGCAGTGACCATAAAAAAAAGTCACCACAGAAAAACATTTCTCACCCATTTCCTCTGTCCCATTATTCGTTAACGGAAATGTATAAGAAAAACATAATCCTTGAAAAACAGGATGGAAGAACAGCGGTTAACACCAAACCAGCACTTTATCAGTCCCACTCTCCCCACACTTCTCAAATCAAAGGATTAACATAAATTCAAAAAACATTGGACTCGAGAAAATCCGTTAAATTAGTCGGTTATTTACAAAAAAAATTTCTCGTTATTCCTACAGAATACGTCAGGAGAGAAAAGAATACGTATGTTATTATGGAAGAGCAGTAATCACGATTTCTTTTCCATCCAATTTCTATACACAAGAGATTCTAGGTAATTGGGTTATGATTCCATGAATTATGTGGCGATATTTTTAGTAAAATATATATGCGATTTACGATGTCTTGAATTTATTTTCAATTCTGCTTAATTTTTTTTATTTTTGAAATGTGCTGTTTTGAACTTTGGATTGGATTGACGGGATGATGACAAATCCTGTGAAAATATTCATGAAATATCAGAATTTCACCTCGATTTTTTTTCTTTTCCCAAATCTGGAAATCTCAATGCAATCTTTTTGAATTCATCAAAATATTTACAGGCTCAAAAAATTGATTAAGGGGTACACGCAAACAAAATTCTTCTTCGTAATTACCCCCTCGATGTCACAGTAATTTTAATAAATCAAATCAAGTTCATGAATTTCTCCCACAGCACAATTTCATTTTGATAATATATCAATTGTTCATATGCACATTTCGTACAAATTGAATTTTAAATATAAAAATGGACAGGTTTGCAGATCAATTCCAACGAAATTGTATTCGATGTTGCATAGTATGTATAAAGTACATGCCTCAATAATCTCTAAACTACAAAGGTCATTAAACACTGAATTGGGCGGATTTCCAACGTATGATTTTTTTTTTGTATTTTGTACAAATATACTTTCCCGGTTAATAATTGATTCTTACCCCACGAATTCTACCTAACGCTCCCATGAAACAACATCTATACAAATAAATTCTGCTGAGGAGATGCTCGACAGCAGTTACAAACGAAATAATCATTGGATGAGTCCAAAACATCACTCGGTCCTCAGGGGGGGGGGGATTACTATAAATGTTTCATCAAAGGAAAAATCTTTGATGCAGGGAGGAACGACGTGACGTTGATTGGAGTGAGTCCTGTGAAGGGAAAATATGAATATCAGTCACGATATCGCATCATTGGATTTATCCCTCGCTTACTGAGGAGAGGGAACTTCTTGTTGAGCCAGCGGTGTGATGAGTCAAATCTGGAAGATCCGAGGGCAGGCACAGGGGCATTGCGCTCGGGCCAAATATCGCTTCTTGCTCCTCCAGCTGTTGAGCAAATTGCTCCTCCAATCGCTGAAAAATAATTATTCGTTATGACTGATGATTAAATGAGATGAAGTGACTATTTACAAATGAGATGAAACGATTATATTCCCAAAAATCTTCAAATGTTAAAGCCCCAAATCTTCGATACTTGGTAGTCATCAGGAATTACACTTATTTCAAAGTATTCATTTTTTTTCATTGGTGAAATTACTTTAGAAAATATTTTTCGTCGATATGAAAGCATGGAGATCCATCTCATCCTTTCTTTTAAAAAACATGGGCAATGTCTCCAACGAATGAATAAAGTAAGGCTGTTTTCATGAGTACAATTGTTTTGAAAATTGAATGCCATTCTATGAAACATGAATAAACGAATCATAATTGTCCAAATCATTTTTTCACTTTGAACAAATAATATTTATATCCAAATACAAAATTTCTGATATGAATAAAAAGAAGCTGTGACTTAATATTCCAAATTAAGTTTTAATTTTTCATTTGGTGCTGAAAACACGAGATGGCAATATTCTAAGTACGGAATTATAGTAATGAGATGAACAACAGATTAATTGAATTGCCATGTGAACTAACTGAAAATTGATAACAGTGTGGGCACGCGCTCCACACTCAATTCACACTCTCAAGTGTGTTCTACAAGGAATTGAATTGTTATTATGATTAAAATCTGAACATGAGCAAATGATTTATTGTAATACGAAAATTTAACAGCTGATAAATTGGGACATATGATTTTCATGGGTCGTATGGCTTTTTGCAATGAGAATGATTATAAACAATTAATTGATAAAGGGAATATGGAATCTGTCGGGAAAAAAATCAGAACTTTAAAAACATCATCTGACTAACCTTTTGCAATCCAACTCTCCCCCGAATTTTTTTAACCGAAAAATCTCGTCGATTTCCCCGTGGGAACATGAAAAGCATCGGACAAATGATCCCATTATTCATACCAGACAACAATGAATAACAAGTGAATCTAATTCACCTCTTCCCATATCTAAGACACCAACTACTTCAACATTGACAGTTAAATCGAGAATCTCATCCTCTCATCTTGCACAAATGATAATACCTTAAAGATTAATGTGTTTTGTGTGTCGTGTGATGTTGAGATTGAGGATTTAGACAATAACAAAAGCAAAAAGAACCCCTGAAAATAAACCATTATCAACAAAACGAAAAAAAGAAAAAACAGTAACAATGACATCTCGAGGAAATTAATTCACCCACAGATGGAATGATTTTTGTAACGAGACGAATGGAAACTATCTACGTGAGACAACACTGGGTGGTCTTGACAGAGTTTCACTGCCAACGGAACTCGTGTCGGAGCCACCACGAAGGGACACCCGGGGAATGCTTATGGGGACTGGGGAATTTGGTGTGGATCTTGCGAGTCTCGGTGACAGTATCCACTTGTCTGATACCGTCATTCTGTAATCGAGTGTCGCTAAGGAAATACGAGATAGACGAGATGGTAAATAATCCTTGTAGCGCGACTCCAATGCCTCCATTTCACTCGCTAGCTCCGCCTCTAATTTCTATAACAAGTTATTTTATGTTTAATATACTGCACTGTTGAAAAAAATTTTAATGAAATTTATGGTACAGTTGGTGGGAATTATTACAACAAGGAATTTCATTATTTAGAATCCAAAATTTTAGTGAAAAATGAATGGAAATGAATGCAAATGTAAATTCCAGTTCAATTATTCCATGAAAATTGAGGTAAATATATCGTTAGTTTTTTAATTAATTGAAGTTTAGAGTAAAGTGGGATATTATTGTTTTTCTGATACTCAAAAATTTGAAGTTTCAGTGAAATTTGGAATTTAATTACTTTTTCTCCTTCCTAAATCGAAGTCAATGGCACTTTACTAAAAATTACTAGTCAACTGTCCATGAAATTCTGTTTTTTTTTGGCAGTGCACTTCTTGGAAAGTTTTATCACAAAGTTCTACTGAAATTTTAAGGAATCAAAATTCATAATTCTGGGGAAAAGTCAATGAAAACAGAGAATTCCATGATTTTTCCCCCTAATCGAATTCTGTGTCCCTCAACAAAAAATTACAGGCCAACTGTACCCGAAATTTCATAATTTTTCCAGCAATGCACCCTAAATTTAAAAAAATTATAATTATTCATCTAAATCCCCCCAAACTTCTCAATAAAATTCCCAAAAAAAAAATAGAAAAGATTTGTGTGTGAAGTATCTGTAAATGTATCTGCAATCTGATAAAAAATCCCAACCAAAAAGATGGTTTTACCTGCTTACGAGGCTTCAAATGAGCCTTCCACTCCCTCAGCTCCTTTCCATAAGCCTCCTCCTGCTCCTTAAGCTTCATAGTCTCATACTCCATAAGCATCTTCCTCTTCTCATTCTGCAACTGCTCCAGCTCCTTGATAGTGGCATCACTCTGAGCCCTCACCTCCTCCAACTGCCTGCTGTGCTTGAGCTCAAACCTCTGCTGTTCAGCCCTGTACCTCTTCTTCTCGTCCTCCTGAAACTTCTTGAGTTTCTCCCTCTCAGCATCAGGAGCAGAAATGAGAACATTCATTGTGGAGATCCTCATAGACTCCCTGAACATGGCCTCCCTCGCCTTCATCTCATTCCTTATCCTCTTGGGTAAATTTCTCCTCTCAACAGTCTGCCTCTTGATGAGTTCCTCCTCCTTCCTCAGATTCATCCTCTTCATCTGCTCCAACTCCTTCTCATGCCTGATGAGCATCTGATGTCTCTGAAGGAAGAATATATCCTTGAGTTGTCTCTTGAGCAACTGCTGTCTCTCATGTATCTGCCTCTCCTCCTGCTCCCAAATAGCCGACTCCCTGGCCCTCATCAACTGCTGCTTCTGCTGAAGGAACTGTCTCTCGATCAGGGCAATTTTCTCCCTGTGAGAATCAGAGAGTCTTCTCAACGAAGTCTCGTGATTCTCATTCAACTTCTCCATAAAAAGTTTCTCCCTGTCCTCGTGCTCCCCCTCGAGCTTCTCCTTCCTCACCTTAAACGCACTCTTTCGCTTCTCCTTGGGCATGAGATCCACCTCCTGCTTCAGCAGTCTCAACTCCTGCTTCAACCCCTCCCTGAACTGCTTGAGCTCCCTCTCCTGTTCGCCCCTGATCTTCTTGGAAGCCAATCTCAAATCAGCCTCCTGCTGTCCCTCAGCCTTCTCAATCTGCTGTCTCTGCTGTCTCCCAAGCCCATCAAGATCACTCTCAGCTGTTCTCTCCAGCGTCTGACGCTCCTGCTCAAACCTCTTCTCCTGCTGATCCTTCATAAACTGCGCCTTCTGCGTTAAATCCTGAAACTGCTTCTGCTCCATCTTCTGCAGCATCTTCAACTCCCTCAACTCCTGCTTCCTGAATATCTGATCATCGTACACACGGCCATTCTCATCGTCCCCATAAATCACCTTCGACGTTGTCGTTGTCACCACAACCCCATCAATCTCAAACTTCCTCGTTCTCTTTCTCGTCTTCTTCTTCAGATTCATTATCTGAATGTCCTCCTTCGTGCGATGTGTCCTTGGCACTTCCCTCGTGTAATCGGGCTTCCTTCTCAAGACAACCTCGTCATCCACCTCAGCAGTCTGTCGTGAATCCCTGCCCACGTGGTTCTCCTTGTTGGAGCCCCTGCTGTCCTGGCTGATTGTCGTTGATATTGACTCAGCGTCAGACCTGTCGATGCTCTTGTTGGGTGTGTGGGACCTCGTGGAGCCCGAGTCACTGTGGGATCTCGACCCCTCGTAACTGTCTGGCGACACTCTCTTCTCCTTCTTTGTCTCCTTGACCTTCTGGTCTGCCCTCCTCACCTGTCCATTCATCCTCTTGCTGACGAGTACATCGTCAACGTCTGTTGCCTCCACAGTTGTTCCCTTAACAATCATCTTTGTCTCATCACCACTGTCACTCTGGGAGGATGATCTCACATTTCTTTTGCCCATCACTGACGAGTCCTTCACCTGCTCCTGCTCATCACCAACAGTCACCACTGACACGTGACTAGTGTCAGCAAGCTCATCGACTATTGGTGTGACAATTACCACTTCAGACTCGTCCAGCTTCTTACCAATGCACTTTGGCGTGTCTGTGATGACTATTGGCTGCTCCTGGGGTGTGTACTCCAGGGAGTCGAGACTTGTGAAGCCATCGTCGTCTGTTGACGACTCGTTTACCTGGGTTTTGTTGGTCTCATTGGCGACAATTACGACTTCTGAGGTGGGTGAGGTTCGTCGTGGGGGCGGGGTCGAGGCAGCGTCTACGAGGACTGGTGGGTGAGTCGTCACCACTGTCACCTGGCTTATATTCGAGGCAAGACTGTTTGATGGGTCGGGGGAGTCCGAGGTTATTCTCACTGTTGTTGAGGACGAACGCTGATCCACCTCTGGGGATTTTGTTATCACGACAACGTCGTTTTCACGTGATTTACTGCGACTTCGGAGGGGAGTGGAGGTTATCACTGAGACGTTCAGGACTGGATCTGTCGAGCTTCGATCCACTGTGTCCTTGGTGGATGATTTGCTCTGGTGCAGTTGGGAAAACTCGTCTCGTGAAGAGTCGATACTTCTGCTTTTTGTTATTTCAGTCTTGGTGTAGTCGGTTTGGATGTTCTCGGTGGAGAGGGACTTCAGGGGCTTCTCTGGGGGCTTCTTGGGGTCTGGGTATTTGTCTGGACCCATGGAGATTCGCTTCTCCAGGACTGCGTTGAGCTTTTCCTCGACTGAGCGACGCTTTGCCTCCAGGGATTGCAGGGCTTGCGGGGGCTGCTTGTCGCGAGGGTGATCTTGGATGCTTCTGGGGGATATTTTTGAGAAAATCAGGTGATTACGCTAGCTTTTTATCAGACATCAGTTGGAAAAGGGTAAGAAGTTACAATTGAATTCTTCTGCATTGATTTGTTTCATTTTTTTCCATGTTTAATGTGACATTGTCTTGGGAACGAGTGGTTTTAAGAGGAAATGTCAGAACATATTTTTTGGTGAAAATTTTGTGATCTAAAAAAAATGTTTGCAGACATTTGGTCGTAAAACCACCCATTTTTGAGATAATTGGAAAAATAACGAAGATATTTTATGCAGATTGTAAACAAGTAAAAAATTTGACTTCGTGTTCAAGTCTTAATTACTCGAGATTGGTAGAGTGAAAATCAAAATTTTTTTCTTCATTTTCAAGATATTTTTTCAAGCTTGAAAATGAGCGCTGATTCATCCAAATCACCATTGGATCATGGAATTTCGATGATCTAAACACGTTTATTTTACCTCACCTTCTTAAAAAAAGAATTCAGGGAACTTTCTTCTTAACTGTGAATTAATCTTAATTAAAAATTATTTGAAAAACAAAAATAGGACATTGTTTGTGAATATTCTCCTCTGCGAATTCCACAAGTAAAAGAACAAAAAATTAATTCGTTTGATTTTTCTCATATGATGACTCACCCTCTTTTTTCCTCCAGGGAGCTCTGCTTACTGTAACTTGACTTTTTCTCCTCACTGGCTTCCGGTTTTGGTGGGGCAGACTTCCTCTTCTCCTCCAAGCTCATCTGATTCTTGAGAATCTTGTTGACGTCAGTGGATTTCGGTCTGATCGGTACGTTCTCCTTCTCAGGGAGCACCACAGCCTCCTTAATGTCCTTGCCATCATCCTGTGCTTTTTCAGGTAATTTTTTATGACTCGGAGGCAAGGGTGTGGCATTGGTGTGGTTCTCAGACGTCTGAGGCTTCTCCGGGGGCTCCTCGTCCTTGGGTGAGGGCGAGGGCACAATTTCCATGGCACTGGGCTTCTCAGCAGGCTTCGGAGTGACTTCTCCCTCTTCATTTTTGCTGTTCTGACGAACAGCTGGGGGCGGTGGGGCTGGACCCTTCTCGCGAGAGCCACGACGCTCGTTTGTATCGCTCGATGAAGGAGGTTTAGGGGCCTGTGAGAATTGAAATCCAGAGATGAAGGAAAAATGTTTTATAAGTGGACAATTCGAGGATTATTCAACCAAAACGATTTTTGCTTCCAAATGGAAGGCTTCTATTTGAGCGATTTTCAGGTTTTTAAATTTGATGGCAAATGGTCTAGAATGTTATGAAACGTTTATTTCATAAGGAAAAAGGATTAAATCCAATGATTTTACGAATTTTCCAGCAGCAAAAGACAAGAACTCCTCAACTTAATTGAATTTTCCACCAAAATATGAATATTCAGTACCTAATTAAGTTGGATTTTCAATGAATTCATAATTCAAGAATATATTCACCTCAATTTTCCTTATTTCTATTAATTTTTATGGAATAATAGTACAAAAGCTAAAGTTTATAGTTTCCATAGATTTTTCCATTAAATTTTAAATTTTTCCATTTTCAATTACCAAGGAATTTTCAAATTCCTTGAAATTTCAGTGGAACTATAATGTGATGAAAATTCTCAAGTGCAGTGCACTGGAAATTTTTGCCGAAAATTTTTAACAATCAAAATTCTTACAAAGTTGAAATTTCTACTCAGTAAAAAATCGTTAGAGATCTAATAAAAATATAAGAGAGATGTTTTCTTCTGTTTCTTAACGAATGTACAAAAGTGCTATAGAAGTAGTTTTCATTTTCATCGATTCAATAATTTTGGAAATGACGTAAAATTCAATTAAAAATGGAGAAATTATTAATGAAATTAGTAGAAGAAAAAAAAAATTATCTGATTCATAATTACTGAATTGCCTTGAAAAGAAACAGTACTCACAGGTTTCTTCTCGACAGACAGTGGAATATTCTCCCTAGAATCCGTCTTCCTCAGTTTCTTGTTCTTCTCCTCCTTCTCGCCCTCACGATTGATCTCACGCTTGTTGCTCTCCTCCTTCTTGGGCTGATCGGGCGACACGGCATCCTTATCTGGAACTGAAACATCAAAATAACGTATCAGTGAACTATCCCATCAGCGCCACAATAATCCTGGATAAAATAATAAAATCTTACTTCTGATTTCAGTGTCGCTGCGCATAGATGTAGAGTCATCTCCGAGTTGGTCCAGCTCCAGGGGCAGCTGCGACGTGCGCTGCTCCTGAAATAACAATCCCCATTAAATAAAAAATCCACCAACAATAACCATCACACGTAAATTGTGCTGAACATGAAAACAAACTACATATCCAATGAATAATTCATGAAACAATAAAAATTGTTAAGGATTGAGAATGGAAACCCCTTTTCTAAACTAAATCATCAAATGTAAAAAGCATGATTGGGTTTTTGTGTAAATAAAAAATAAGTGGACAATTGCATTTTTGTATAAATGAGTGTAGTTATTGTTGCTTATAAATTCGCAATTTGCTCCCGAATGGGGTCTCTTTTGTTAATTCTTATCTCACTATTTTCTTCATCTATTTCTTCATGTCATAGTACTATCATCGATTGAAATGTAATCAAAATTTTCAAGCCCTGATTCAATGGCTATTACTGATAATTCTTTCAGTAATCAACAACGAATTGTGCGACCCCCATCATATTCTGATATAATCAAGCGGGTATTGTTACCAATTTTTTGAGCTATGACTAATTCCATTTTGATGACAATTTTTTAAGTGATCGTTGAAAAATCAATTTTTGGAAAAATATCAATTTTTTCGAATCTGTATGAAAAATTGAAGTTTAATTGGTGTCAATGAATAGAGTTTATTAAAGCCTATATTCATGAAAATGAAGACAAAAGACTACATACATACATACATACAGACACCACCTACAAATCACATATTCACACTTTGTACGCCATATTTNTAAAAATGGAGAAATTATTAATGAAATTAGTAGAAGAAAAAAAAAATTATCTGATTCATAATTACTGAATTGCCTTGAAAAGAAACAGTACTCACAGGTTTCTTCTCGACAGACAGTGGAATATTCTCCCTAGAATCCGTCTTCCTCAGTTTCTTGTTCTTCTCCTCCTTCTCGCCCTCACGATTGATCTCACGCTTGTTGCTCTCCTCCTTCTTGGGCTGATCGGGCGACACGGCATCCTTATCTGGAACTGAAACATCAAAATAACGTATCAGTGAACTATCCCATCAGCGCCACAATAATCCTGGATAAAATAATAAAATCTTACTTCTGATTTCAGTGTCGCTGCGCATAGATGTAGAGTCATCTCCGAGTTGGTCCAGCTCCAGGGGCAGCTGCGACGTGCGCTGCTCCTGAAATAACAATCCCCATTAAATAAAAAATCCACCAACAATAACCATCACACGTAAATTGTGCTGAACATGAAAACAAACTACATATCCAATGAATAATTCATGAAACAATAAAAATTGTTAAGGATTGAGAATGGAAACCCCTTTTCTAAACTAAATCATCAAATGTAAAAAGCATGATTGGGTTTTTGTGTAAATAAAAAATAAGTGGACAATTGCATTTTTGTATAAATGAGTGTAGTTATTGTTGCTTATAAATTCGCAATTTGCTCCCGAATGGGGTCTCTTTTGTTAATTCTTATCTCACTATTTTCTTCATCTATTTCTTCATGTCATAGTACTATCATCGATTGAAATGTAATCAAAATTTTCAAGCCCTGATTCAATGGCTATTACTGATAATTCTTTCAGTAATCAACAACGAATTGTGCGACCCCCATCATATTCTGATATAATCAAGCGGGTATTGTTACCAATTTTTTGAGCTATGACTAATTCCATTTTGATGACAATTTTTTAAGTGATCGTTGAAAAATCAATTTTTGGAAAAATATCAATTTTTTCGAATCTGTATGAAAAATTGAAGTTTAATTGGTGTCAATGAATAGAGTTTATTAAAGCCTATATTCATGAAAATGAAGACAAAAGACTACATACATACATACATACAGACACCACCTACAAATCACATATTCACACTTTGTACGCCATATTTAGTTATGGCCGTGACTATTCGCACCATTGCGTGAATCACTCCCGTACACTCCATACACTTCACGCATGCGTGAAGTTTGTGTGTTTCACGCAGCCGAATTTTCATACTGCTGTGTATTTCACGCAGTTGAAGTTTCATACTACTGTGTGTTTCACGCAGTTGAAGTTTTATTCTACTGTGTGTTTCACGCAGTTGTATTTCTATACTACTCTGTGTTTCACGCAGTTGTATTTTTATACTACTCTGTGTTTCACGCAGTTGTATTTTTATACACCTGTGTGTTTCACGCAGTTGAAGTTTTATACTACTGTGTGTTTGACATCATGTACTCAACTTGTGGAAAAAAATAATAATTCATCAGCATTGTAACAACAGGATTTCCTCAATATTATCAGGCAAACTACTAACCTGACACTCGGACGGGTGATGGGGCTGGCGAGGCCCAGGAGAGCCGCATGCACAGCCAAATATCAAACGTTACAACAGTACATTCACATTATGTCCTCATCCAATTGACAATATCTCTGAACATTGTCTCAACAACCGAACGAATGTAACAATCTACGATATTAATCATCTACTTGCATGACCTTTGGTTCAATTACAGGAAATATTCATGTGGAAAACTTGTATTTTATCTCTTGTTTACATCACAATGCACATAAAAAACAGTTTAATGTAAAAATTCATGTAAAATTAACGGCAATAAATGAGAAAAAAATGAACGTTCAATCAATCAAAACCTCCAAGGCAAGGCGTGGTTATGAAGTAAAATGGTTTTTTTAATAGGGATGCTATGTATTGTTGTCGCGGGAGCAGCTTACCAATCCGCTGATACTGTTCCCTGTGTTTTTTCGCCTTTTTGGCCTTCTATTTATTGTGCAAGCGTGTAAAACAATTGACGGAAATAATTTAGTAAATAAATTCGATCAAGCCTAGTGCTTGTCTAATAATCAGTGGCATTACAGCGTATTTTATTGCTAAAATGAGTCATTATACATGATGGAGTCCCTTCTTTTTTTTATATACATTTAATGGTTTGGGCTGAGATCTCGTCTACGGCAATTCAAATTCGCAGATTACTAAATCGAAATGGATAATTCAATATTTTCCTTGAATGCCACATAACTCAATTATACAATGTGGAAGTCAGACTGCACATGGGTTGGTGGATTTAAATTTGTATCAAAGTGAAGGGAATATCTTCATCTCTCCGTTTAAAAAAAAACAATTTTTTTTAGGACTTGCAATTTTGCATAAACATTCTTAATTATCAATAACGTGAGCACGAAATCTAGAAAAATTCTACAAAAATTCCAGACTAATTTCATCATTTACCCGTCTAATGTATCGAAAAATGAAGGTACTCCATCGCGTGCAGGTCATTTCGACAATAAAATTCTGCATAAAATATGCCAAATCAATATTCCATCGTCTTCATGTCTCCGGTTTAATTTATTATCTCCCCTAACATGCTGATGATGCAAATGATCTAAACGTTCTGCATATTCAGACATTGAGGATGAAGAGTAGAGTGAAAGAACGATCGCAACGATCATGATTTTTCATCTTCATTGAAAATAAATGACAGAACGTGCGGGAATCGTGATATTCTCTCCCTGGGGTTTGTGTTCAAGAGTTGAGTCTAGCTATCAATCGATAGATGACAATGAATCGAATGTTCCTTCTATAGAATGCAATGATGATGATTAGATATGAGAGACAGACACTCACTTCAGCCTCCTCGTCGACGAGCTCCTCTTCGACAACGTCCGCCTTGTACTCCAGCAGAAGATCTCTAATGGACTTTGAATCGAGTGTGCGATTTATGAAGGGATGCTTCAGTAGTTCGTCAGCTGTTGGTCGGGCCGTGGGATCTTTGATGAGGGCTTTGGCTATGAAATCGTTGAAATCTTTGCTCCATTTACCTGGATGCTCTAGTTTTGGTGGATCGCTCTTTTGGATCTTCAGGAGGACTCGCATGGGTGACATCTCGTGATTTGGGGGCTCCATTTGAGCGAATTCTATCAGAGTTATTCCTAGGGACCAAATGTCCACCTGAAATTACATAAAATTATCGTGAATTGCCGATTTTCATTTGAATTTATTCTTGTTTTTTTTCTTTTAATTGTTGTCAATGAAATTTTAAGGATTCTGTGCATTGAAAGTTTACAATTTGATTGGAAAATCCTCGGAAACTGTAAATTGCAATTGAATTATTCCGTAAGAATAAATGGAAGTCGCAAAAATTTAGATAAATATATTCTTCAATTGTCTGTTAATTGAATCAAAGTGATTATTAATTCAATTATCGTCTTTCTGTTATGCAGAAAGTTGAATTACCATTCAGTTTTTAGTGAAATCGGAAACTTCATTATTTTTTCCCCCCTAAAGGCTTTATTAAACTCAAATAATCGATCGAATTGATGTAACAATTGACATTCTAATTGAATAAATGAATTATTCCTAGGGACCAAATGTCCACCTGAAGTTACAAAAAATTTTCGTGAACTGCAGGATTTTTAGGTGAATTTATTCTATTTGGCTTTTTGTCTTTCATTATTTCATTCAACTATTTTATTTTTTATTAGATGTCTAAAATGAATAATTCGTAAAAAATTAAGAAATCAACTCCTTTGATTTTTATTTGAATTTAATCTCTTGTTAAAGTTTTTCCTTCCATTATTTTCAACAATTTTATTTGTCTACTAAATGTCCCAACTTTTAATCTTCATTCCCATGATAACTCCTTATTTTATGCTTTTGTTAGATGTACCGAATGAATAATTAATAAAAATACTTGAGAAATCATCTCTAATCATTAGAAATTTTCATTTCCAAATGTCTCGACAACTAGGTAAACTAAACGAGGTATTCCCTGAAGGTTTTATTTAGGTAGAATTTCGAGTTTCACTGGCTTTCCAATGGACTCACTTTCATTAATGTTCTCGATTAATTCCTCGATTGAGTCAATCGAGAAATCATTGTAAACTTGCACTGACCTTGAAATCGTAAGGATTGTCTCTGAATGTTTCGCACAGGACAACTTCCGGCGCCATCCAGTATGGAGTGCCAATGAATGTGTCATGCTTCTGGAGGGTGTGTTTGTTCTTCGCTGATACTCCAAAATCGGCTGTAGCACGAAGAAATTCAACCAATTGACTATTTCATTCTGGTTTCCAACTAATTTTAGTAATGCATCATTTTTAAAAATTGCAGAAATCCCAGAGAAATTGCTAAAGAGGGTCTTTATTTACAATTAATTAATTGAAAAAAAAAATCACTGGAATTTTTTTTCTGATGTTCCTATTATTACGTGAGAGTTTCGCTGGAATTTCAAGGATTTTTCTTGAAAATTCACAATTTGATAGAACAACCGTTGGAGACTAAATTTCGGTTTAATTATTCTGTAAAAATTAATATACGTCCCAAAAATTCACGTGGAAATGAATTGCAAAAATTACGAATTGAAGACTGAACATTTTTAAAAGGGGATAATCGACTGGAAAATACAGAAAATATATTTTTCTTTATTCGTCTGGGTAGAAACTTGGAATTACTGTTTTTTCTTCGAATATGGGCAGAATATGAATATTTTGGAATTTTATGATCTGATTTTAACGAGAAGAAATGAAAAAAATATAAAAAATATAGGCGGGAAGAAAGAAAAAAATTAATTTTTCAATGGCTCTGGAAAGTTTTAAAATCGATATATTTTTCGAATAATGGAAGAAACCCATAAATTCAATTTATATCCTTGTCTTTTGATGGAATGAATAGAATAAATGACAGAAATTCAGCATTGAAGACTAAATATTTTATCGAATTATTATTATATATATAATAATAGTAATAAATAGTAATAGTCACCCAGCTTAACTCCACCAGCCATAGTAAGTAAAACATTTCCCGCCTTGAGATCCCTGTGAATGACCCTGGCCTTGTGCAAAAACGCCAGTCCCTCAGTCATCTGTTGGCAAACGTAAGCAATCTGCGACTCAGTCAGTGGTTTCTCCAGCTCCACCATTATGGAGTCAACAGCCCCACCATCGCAATACTCAATCAGCATCCAAAGTTTGCCATCGTCGAAGTAAGCCTCGTGCAATTCCACTACATTGGGATGCTTGAACTCAGAGAGAATGTCAATTTCAATCATGAAGTCGCTCAGATCGTCTTCACCCTCTAGTGCACACATCTTGGCAGCAGCCAGCTGCTGCGTCTGCTTGTTCTGGGCCTTGTAGACCTTGCCGAAAGCGCCATCTCCAAGCTCTCCAATCATGTCCCAAAATTCCGTTGGATCACAGTCCATTTTAATGTTGTTGTACAACTTCTTCTTTTTGGCGTCGTTTCCACCGAAGTGGAACGCCTTCTTCAGGTTCGATAAGAACGACATTTTCGCTTTTTTTTTTTAAATTAAATTAGGAAGAAAAGTAGATGCAGTCTGTGATTCACATCTCTCAGTTTGGTCGGTCCAAAATTAGAGCTTCTGGGAAACTCAGACCCCCAGGCATGTGGGGATCAGGGTGGATATCTCCCGCATCTTGATATTATTCTAGTGGACGGTTCAATAATTCAGAGGGTGTGGGGTAATTAATTCAATTGAATTCCTTAATTGGTCCATTGCGGCCGCTTCCAATGGCTATTTTTCAAAATCCTGGAATGGAGAATTGTTTTTTTATGAGGAAATCCTCTGGACAAATTTAATTGAATTATTTTTTTGCCATTTTAGAAAATTTTGTGGAATTTTGCGAAAAAAAAAATTCTATTGGAGTTTGAAGAGTTTCGGGAACTTTTGAAAATTAAAAACGATTCCATGCTATGAATAATGCGTTTTGCAATGTTTTAAATTTTTGTGAAATTTTGAGAAACCGAGAGAGATTTTATTGGATTTCAAAATGCAATATTGGATTTTAGAATCCAATCTAAGGTATAGATTGAGTGAATAGAATTTCAACAACTCCAAAAAAATTCCCTGAGGATTTAATGAAATGGCGTTTCGTACTCAATAGTTGAATGAACTTTTTGTATCAACAGGTGAATGAAGAAATCACCATAAAATATCCCTAGATTTACTATGGCTAACTCAACATCCATATAGCTGTATTTGAATTCCATCACCAGAGAAAACTGGGACATGCCTGGCAGAGCAACATTCCAATAGGAACGAGCGAGAGACAACCACATGGCCGTAATACCCAACATTATTTTCTGCCAATGAAGAGTCAGAAGTAAAAGTTCTATTAAGAAATATGGAAAGTCCACATGTGGACCCATGATTTAAAGATTTTCGTGAAATTATCACAGATATCCAACGAATTTTTAGCGATGGTGGGATAAATTAAAACAACATTCATCAAATTTTAATTTTAAAAAACGATAATGTTGGAGAAAATAGAAGAATGTTCATCTTATTTATCATTAAAAAAAAACAAGTGGGAAATTGGTCTTGTGTTGCATATGGTATAGTTATTTTTGCTAATAAATTAGCAATATGCTTCCGAATGGATATTTTTTGCACATAATTTCCTTCCATCATGTATAATTCATTGTTTATTTCATTTTATTAAATTGCATAAGATTTCTATACAACCGATTGTCTTTTTTACAGTTCTCTCTCCCTTCAGCCCTTCGACAAAATGTTGATAGGAAAAAGTGTTATTGACACAATACTAGAATGAATTTGCAACATCACATTTGAAGAAACCATCAGGAAGCTCACTTTCAGGGAAATTCACGAAAAATTCAAACTTTTCAACAATCGCCATAAAAATTGAATAAACCAATATAGCTATGGTAATCATCTTTTAACTTTGAATTAATGGCATTAAAACAAACATTTAAAGCTATGGTTGAATTCATTTGAAGCGTGATATTCAAAGATATCCCGGAATTCCGATTTTCAAAAAATACAAAATTTTTGAAAATTTTCAAATAAATGAAAATAATGATTATTGCTATCGCCTCCATCTTCGAACTCGGTCAATAGGACATCCAAACAAATTTCTTAAGCCATCATCCAATCAATGCAGAACTTTTTTTTGTTATCGTGGGACAACCAATCTTCGAACAAATTCGAAAATAAAAAAAAAGTGGATGAATTAAATTTTAATTAATGGCGATCCATAGGACTCAAAAATACCTATATTTAAAAGATCCCAAAGATTCCGGAAAAAGATTCCATTCCATCCATTCATTAGCAAAAAATTGAAAAAAGACTTTACCACACACATACGTACGGACACGGTCTAAAAATCGCATTTTCGGACTTTTTGGATCATAATGGGTCGATATAACACAATAATCCAAAAGTTAAAGTTTAACGATTACAAAGCTTCCATTCGGAAAGAAAAATGATAATGTTGGAGAAAATGATAACAACATTTATCTAATAGGAACTAAGTTTTCCGTAATTGTCCTATGCACCCATTCTACTACCTCATTGATAGGTAAACGACAAGATTTATGGAGAAACGTCGCCTACAAAAATTCAATTTTTATGAAAGATATTAAATTTTCTTCTACCAAATTGGTTGATTTACCTCAGTAATTTATATATTAATTAATAATCAGTTATTAATCAACCAGTAATATTTCTCATGTTTATAAATGAAAAGTTAATCATTTACGGGCGAAACTTGAGATTAAAACATTTTAATTTCCAAAACAAAAATGATAATGTTGTCATTTTCTTCAACATTCCTTGAATTTTGCAGGGTATTTGATAATAATGGAGATGAATCAGCGCATAAACTATCAGGAATGTTTTCAGTGAGGTATTGGGCACGGATTGGGCAAGTGAATAAGTCCTTTACGTGTTCCTGATACCATCATCTTCGATAAGAGGAGAATTTGATAAAGAGATAAAACAATAAGACATGAGATAAGTGTCTCTTTCATAACGACACCTTTTTGTGGGATGATTCACCTGTAGTTCACGAACGAAGAAATTACTCACATTTCACCGGATAGTGAACAATTCGGTGAATTTAATTTCCTAAAATACAGAAAATGCCAAATTCTCGTCGGAATTAATGCAAAAACTGAAGGCCGACGTGTCACCTCGAGACGTAAACTTGAGAATTACATAATCGAAAGATCAAGTTCTTCAAGAGCAATAAAAAATTGAGAGAAGGAAAATTAATTGTTTTCATACTTAAGTATCTCCGGATCTAGTGATACGAATTGGACGACTCAGGAGTTATTTTAAAGCTTGAAAAAATACCTCTAAAATGGAAAAATCTTGAAAATTCACTCTGTCCTTCTCGACTTATCTTCAATTAAAAAATTGCCGTAAGCATATTAGTTAAGTAAACTGAACTTTTCTCAAACGTGATTATCTCCAGATCAAAGTATTCAATCCAAATGAATCAAATTTCATTTTAAACTCTGAAAAAATACGTGGAAAATGAAAAAAAATCTAGAAAATTCACTCCACCATTCTCGGCATATTCACAATTTAAAAATTGCCCCAGCCGTATTAGTAAAGTAAAATAAATTGCATTCAGACGTGAAAATCTCCCCACCAAACGCCCCAAACCCAATAAATAAAATTGAATTTTAAACCCCAGAAAAACACTACAAAAATTAAAAAATCAAAAATTTTCCTCTGCCATTTTCGATTCACCTCCAATTAAAAAATTCCCCCAGACATATTAGTGAAGTAAAATAAACTGCATTCAAACGTGAATATCTCCCCACCAAACGTCCCAAATCCAGCAAATCAAATTGCACTCTAAACCCCAAAAGAACCCTCAAAAATAAAAATCCAAAAATTTTCCTCTGTCGCAATAAATCCCCCCGGCGTCCGCTAAATTTTCCAGCAAAATTCCCCGTCAGTTCACTGACTCACCACGAAGAGATGCAACTGTGATGCCATGTTCTATTCTCTTTAAACTCGCGTGCATCCCAGTCATACAGCCAGAATGATCAAGCACCGTAACGCATAATTAAGACACAACAAAGTAACGATAGTCGATGACTGCCCATAAACGTCACACGTGACCAATTTCTCCCCGACCTCCAGGGGATGAGTCCCAACGCAAAAACCCAAGAAAAAAATCCCCAGAGAACCCCCCAAAGTCCGTGTCGCCGACTCCCCAAAGGCCCCCATTAATTAAAAACAATGACGAAAGAGGAAAAAAAATCATCTCCAGAAAAAACAAATCGACAGGTGACACAAATTGACAAGTGGCTATCATCACCATTTTCATCTCTGGGTGCATCGCACTTTCCCCTGTCCCCAATAATCCCTCGCACGAAACACTGCACCCCAGAGCGATGAAAAAATCATCTCCACGGGATTGAAAAACCCATCACGAGGTAAACAGAATATTTTTAATCGTAGGAAACGACCGACGGGCGCGTCCTCTTGCTCCAATAAACCTCCTATTTTTCCTGTGCACGACCCCACCTCGATAAACACGTTATTAAATCGATTGCTATTGCATGCACATGCCCAAGGCATCGGGAACGAAAATTAATGGACAAATGTCGAGTGATTAATTGTTAATTTGATCGTGTTGATGATGGAGTTGTTACTCGCCTCGTATGCAGACGTTTCGGAGTCTTGAGGTAACTCGCCAGCTTTCACTGCACCAAAAAACCTCACGACAATCACGATTATCAGGGCTGAGGGCCCATAAACACTTGGACACTGTCACTTTATCGGCGAGGGGGTGGCCTAGGCGACGAGGGGGAGGCAGTTATTTCGGGGGGTTTTGACGACGGGGATTAACAAATGACCGGTGAAAAAAAGTCTGACTACAGTTGCATGTCTGTCTCGTCTGCGGCCATTTTAATTTTGCACACACGAATGTACTACCACGCCTCTACGTGATGTGATGCCGGCAGTCGACTGCAGGGGGCGCTCGGCTTTGGGAGGTTGCTGGTTGACGGTTTTTTTTGGGATTTTACGGGTTTTACGGGGAGTTTACGGGAGGTTCTGCACGCCGGGGACGGAAGTCAGGGGTAAGTGGAGAAATTTAATTAGGATTGATTTGGGGGCATGTGACAGGAAGCCCTCGTGGATAATCCGATGGAGGTTGGTCGGGAGAATTGGTCAGTGGGATTGGATTTAGCGGCTGGGGGTTGAGTTTATTGGGGGGAGGGGGCTTTGGGGATGACGAGGGTTATGAAGAATTGTTGGAAATGTTTTTGGAAGTTTGGGGGATTTTTATGAAATTTTATTGGAGGGTCTGATGTTTCTTATGACGTTCATGCATTTTATGAAGTTTTCTTGGTGTCTCTGAATTTCTTACTGAAATTCATGAATGAATTTCAATTGATTTGAGGCGGAGATTTTTTGGGGTTTTGAGGGGGCGGGGAGGTAGGATTTTTGGGGTTGAAGGGGGATTTTAGGGAAGTGTTGGAAACATTTTGGGAGTTCCGAGGATTTCATGAAATTTTATTAAAGTCTGTAATGTTTTTTATAAAAACTCATGCATTTTAGGAAATTTTCTTGGAGTCTCTGTTCTTTCTTACAAAAACATGACTTTCATTGAAATATTTGGAGAGGGTCAGAAGGTTCATTAGGGGGGATGTCATTAGAGAACGTTTGAGCCAACGTTTCTGTATTTTTTGAAAATTATAGCATCGTACTAATCTACTTTTTCATATTTTTTCCCTTTTTCTCACTCAATCACTATTACATGGCATTGATAGCCATCAATTTATTTTCGATTTTTCTCCTATTCATCTTGCACTTTATCTTTTCAAAATTATCATGCAGCAAAGGGCATGAAATCGGAGGTAAATGGAGAAATTGAATTAGGATTGATTTATCAGGCTTGCAGCTGGAAGCCCTCGTGTGTAATCCGGTTGAACAGTTTGTTCTAGAGAATTTGTTCACTTGCGATCAGATTTTTGGGGGGAGGAGGTTTATTTGACGTTGGAACGGGTGGGGAGCTAGGATTTTTGGGGTTGAAGGGGGATTTCAGGGAATTGTTGGGGAAATTTTTGTGAGTCATGGGGATTTCGTGAAATTTTCTTCGAGTCTCTGAAGTTTCTTACAAAAACTCATGATTTTCGTTGAATTTCCTCAAATATAATTTTGAATTCTTTGCAATATTTGGAAAAGTTTAGAAGGTTCATGGAGGGGTCAGACATGACCGAAGAACAGTCAATGTTTCAGTACGAAAAAAAAATGACTAGTTAAAATTCATTAGAATCAAGTTCAAATCCATTTGAAATTTAAAGAAAATCCTCGAGAAAATCACAATCTTTCAAAATGTCTAACGATATTCTTCTCCATTCGTCATCAATGAATAAACAAAAATCACTAAGTACATCAATAAATGCATAACTGAAAGATAAATAAATATCAAGTGACTAAATATTCCCATGTTTATCCAATTCTAGAAACAGAGAATTCGTGATAAAATGCCGAAGGAAAGGGGACTCGTAGTGCAAGTCTTGCGGAACTTCATAGCCTCGTTCAAGCCAAGGATGACTGCAAAAAAACTGGTGGGTGAGGATTACAATGGAACGAAGTACTACGAGGACCCGGAGGCCAAAGCCAGGAAAGGGCGGTCTTTTGTCCCTTACAACGAGGATGATTTCGAGCAGGAGCTTCCGGCAGAGTGGGATGCTTGGCTGAGGTACAGGAGACATGAGCCACCGAGTGAAGAGGAGGTCAACAAGAATTACCAGATGATGATGCTGAAGAAGAAAAATGCAGCTGCTCTGGAGAAGCTTTATGCTGAGGAAAAGGGAGTCAGTGTGGAGATTCCCAAGCAGAAGACTGGCTTCGAGAGTTTTCCCACTTACGAAGAGTACAAACGATTTGGTCAGGCCTATTTGGACGAGAAACAGCGGAAGAAGGAGTAGATTGATGAGTGAATAGTGATTATGAAATTATAGAGACAATTGAGATAGGAGTTTGGGTAATTTAATCACACGCTGTATTATAAAAATTGTAAATATTTATTATAATAGAGTGAATTTACTACAATGACCTAATTATTTTGATCCATCTCTTACCACACGTTTTATGGAAACAATTTAATATTTCAGTTTACTGACAGGGGTTCAATTGATGTTAGTTTAACCATCAGTAACTCGAGGAAAAGAATTACGAGGTGTAGGATCTACTCCATTCAAAAGAGATCCATAAACGTGAATAACTCCATCATTTCGTGAAAAGCGATAACGTCTCTGTACTGATACATTAGGTGATTCCAATTATGAGATGATGATGCTGGGGAAAGGGGATGCACTTTGGGAGAAGACTGGCCTCGAGAGTTTTCCCACTCACGAGGACTACAAAGGATATGGTCAGGGCTATTTGGACGAGAAACAGCAAAAGAAATAAATTAATGAGTGAATAGTGATTATGAAATTATAGAGACAATTGAGATAGGAGTTTGGGTAATTTAATCACACGCTGTATTATAAAAATTGTAAATATTTATTATAATAGAGTGAATTTACTACAATGACCTAATTATTTTGATCCATCTCTTACCACACGTTTTATGGAAACAATTTAATATTTCAGTTTACTGACAGGGGTTCAATTGATGTTAGTTTAACCATCAGTAACTCGAGGAAAAGAATTACGAGGTGTAGGATCTACTCCATTCAAAAGAGATCCATAAACGTGAATAACTCCATCATTTCGTGAAAAGCGATAACGTCTCTGTACTGATACATTAGGTGATTCCAATTATGAGATGATGATGCTGGGGAAAGGGGATGCACTTTGGGAGAAGACTGGCCTCGAGAGTTTTCCCACTCACGAGGACTACAAAGGATATGGTCAGGGCTATTTGGACGAGAAACAGCAAAAGAAATAAATTAATGAGTGAATAGTGATTATGAAATTATAGAGACAATTGAGATAGGAGTTTGGGTAATTTAATCACACGCTGTATTATAAAAATTGTAAATATTTATTATAATAGAGTGAATTTACTACAATGACCTAATTATTTTGATCCATCTCTTACCACACGTTTTATGGAAACAATTTAATATTTCAGTTTACTGACAGGGGTTCAATTGATGTTAGTTTAACCATCAGTAACTCGAGGAAAAGAATTACAAGGTACAAGATCTACTTCATTCAAAAGAAATACATAAACATGAACAAATCAATCGTTTTGTTATGTGGGATTGCGTCTCAGTACTGATAATCAGTAATGAGTCTGAATAACATTTACTCTCCTTCTTTTTACACTTGGGAATTTCCCGGCTTCATTATTTCGTTACTTGATCCAGAGTATTTCTTCCATAGGAAAAAAAAACGTCAACTATCTCTAATTAGGTAGTAATTGGAACAGTGATTCTTCAACCTGAGTAATCACTGTGGTCGAAGAGGGCTTGGTCGTAGAGTTCACCTTTTACCAGTCTACCACCGAAGTAACGACCGTTGAGAGAATCTCTCGCTCTTTCTGCCTCTGAAATAATGAAAATAAATAAAAATTTCATTAGTATATTCACTCAAAAAAATCGCACGCCAGATTTTACGATTATGAAAGAGAAATGATTATGAAATTTCTTTGGAACTACAAAAAATTTCGTAACATTCCCAGACATCTGTAGAGATTTCATAAGACCTCTGAGAAATTTCGAAAGATTTCAAACTATTGTGTGGAGATTTCAAAGTTTTTGATTAAAACATTACGTCATTTAAAATTCTAAATTTTATGGTAAATTGCAATTGAATTACTTCATGAAAATGAATAAAAGTCATGAAAATTCAGGTGAATTATTAAATTCAACGTTATTTGGTATTGAATATTCATATTTCTCCATGTAATTACATTTATTTCTAGCAATGCTCTAGAGAATTTCAGACACTCCTTCACAAGAATGAGAGATTCTCACGACTTTTTTGGAACCATAAATTTTTAAAACTCAAGGCCTCCCTGAGGATTTATGCCTCAGAAGTAACGGATAAAAAAAAGAATGATATGAATTTAACGTACCACTCATCTGTGAAAATTCAACAAAAATCTTCACAATGACTTCAGCATCCTCGTCATCCTCCGACTGTCTCTCATTATAAATAATAACTCTCTCGACAACTCCGAATTTAGAGCACTCGTCTTGAATCTCCTCTTGAAGACTCTCGTCCACATCCTCCGGTGCAACCATATTTCTGAGAATAACCACTCGTGACTCAACTTTTCTCATCAGCTTCTGCATCACGAGGTGACGTGCACTCTGTCCCTTTATCGACATGTTCTCCTGCTGTTGGAGGGTCTGGGGCTCGGTTTCTTCCAGGAGCTTCTTCTGGAGCTCTTCCTGCTGCTTCTGATGGGCTGCCTGCTCCTGGGCTCGTCTGTTAATGTCTGCTACTGGTGGAGTGCTGACTGGAACCTAAACAAATTTTTCAATCGTAAATTTAATCTCACTAATTCCATATTGATGTTGTAATGCTCGAGGGAGTATTTACTCACCACTGGTGCAGCGACCACTGGAGGCACCACAGCAGCTGGAGGAATGATGACAGGCTGCCCTGGAATTGGCTGAATAATTGCTGGGGGTCGAGCCAATGTCTGGGGAATTGCAATCCCAGGGGGAGGGATTATTGGAGCCACTGTTGCTACTGTTGGAGGTGCCATTGCTGTCGTTGGAGTCACTGTTGGTCTGACGATACCTGGGAGAGCTTTCAAAAAATTGTAAATGAAATTAACGATCATTTTCCTAATTAAGTTGACTTAAATATCAAATCGAACTGATTCGGCCTTTTACATTTTACGAAATGTCGAATTATTTCAATAACGAGGGGTTTTAGGGAAAAATGTCATAAGGGGTTTGTTGTTGGTAATTTTCCCACCTACCAAAAATATTTCGTGACATTTTTCCCTAAAATCACTAGTTTTCGAGATAAATGGGAAATTAACAAATAAGAAAAAAATGAAAATTTTTGCAAACGTTATTTTTGCAAATAAATTCGTTTTAAAAAAATTTCCATCAAGAATTCCATGTCTACAAATGAAAATTGTCTTTTATCGAGTGAACTCACTGGTATTCAAAATAGGAGGTGCATTAGCTCCAAGTTTAGTGAGCCCCAGAGCCACAGCATTACTGGCAACAGCATCCATCGCTTGAATCTTGGCTGTTGCAGCAGCTGCAGCAACAGCAGCAGCAGTTGGCATCATGCTACTACCACTGGGTGGTCCCATGAGTGCATTGGGCGGAGTAATTGCCCGTCCAACTCTGAGATACTGTCCACCAAGGTCGAAGAGATTCATCGAGGAAATTGCCTCGAGTGCAGATTGCATTGTCTCGTACTCGATGAATCCATATCCCTTGTGTCTGTGGGGCGAACTGCCCTGCGCCAATTTGCAATAGGTAATTGGACCAAATGCCTCGAAAACTGATTTAATATCCTCCTCCGTCAGGTCTTGATGAATCGAAGCGATGTAAATGCGATTATAGTGCTTACTCTCTTCTGTTATTTCGTCGATCACTGATTGCGCTTGGGGCATGTTGGAGGGACGTCCAACGACCTGAAATCATTATTCAATTTTTCTGTTGAATTTTCTGATGGAGAACATTTGTTCAGTTGCTGAGTTTTGCATGAGGAGGTGAAGGCTTGATGAGGAAAGGGGGTTTTCATGGATTTTTTTAATTATTGAAATTTAAAATGACACATGATTTTTTGTAGAAAATGCAGAGATGTTTTTAAAAAAATCATCAATATGAAGAAAAGTAAATTATTGATTAGTAAAAAAATGAATATGTAGTTTTTTTACTCCTGATAAAAACGAATACAAAATAAGATTGACATATTTGAAAAGATGTGCATTGACAATTGACTCTGGCTTTTTCATTTCCCATCATTAATAAAATAAAGAGGATTTCTAGCAAATTTACTTTATCAAGGGTGGGATGAGGATGTGAAGGTTTGATGAGGATGGGATTTTTAAAAAATGAATATTAAAATGTGCAGACCTCGGGAGATAAGGAAGGATCTCGGGATGTTGGAAGGATCGTAACATGAGTGCGTCCAGCTACCTTGATATTTCTTCCACCAATCATAACTCCATTCATCTGCTCCAGCGCGAGTTGCGCAGCCTCCGGTATCTCATACTCGACGAATGCGAATCCCTTGTGCTTCTGCGTCACTGGGTCCCAGGACATGTTGATGGATTTGATAGGCCCGAATGGCAGAAATGCCTGGCGAATCGTGTCTTCCTTCAACTCGAAGCTTATGCTCCCCACGTAGACCCTAGATTTTCGGAATTCCACAGCATTTCATCACATTAATCATCGTTTGAGAGGAAGAAATGAAACAAGTGGATAATTGCATTATGTTAAAAATGCGTATATTCATTGTTGCTAATAAATTAGCAATTTGCTTCCGAATGAATTCTTTTTTAATTCTTATGTGACTATTCTTTTCTTCTATTTTTTCATGTCATAGTACTATCATCAATTGAAATGTCATTAAAATTTTACGTAATATTTCGTTCTGTCAAATAATTCTACATTCAGACCCTCTCAAGACACCAATTCGATTTCAGTTCGAGTTTAATAAAGGCTCAATCAAGGTTTAATCAGTGTATACTCGGGATTTACCCAGAGTGTAACCCAGGTTCTGTCAGAAGTTAGTCGGGACCATGAATCAATATGAATAACTATTCAACATAATAGACTAGTACCTGAGTTTAATTGAGATAGATATTTTGATATGAAAGGCTCATGACGGTAATGTGTAACTTGATGAGCAATTATGTTGTTCTCACCATTTTTCACCTTAATTAAGAAGGCATTGAAATAGACTTTTCAAGCTCTGATTTAATTACTATTACTAATGATTTTTTCAGTAATCATGAGAAAACCGATTTTCTCTTTCAAATCGCATAAACAATGTGCTGTAACTCAACAATGAATTATGCGACCCCCATCATATACCGATAGAATCAAGAGAATATCGTTATCAAATTTTTGAGCCATGACTAACGCCATTTTGATGACAATTTTTTGAGTGATCGAAAAATCGATTTTTGGAAAAATATAAATTTTTGCGCTTGCAGTTTATTAAAGCTTTAGAGCTTATTGAAGTCTGCATCCATAAAGAAATTCATGAATTTCAATTGATCCCTTGTATAAGAAAATTTCGAAAAACGTAACCCTACCACAAAAAATTGGAAATTTAAATTTGAGCGATTAGAAAGCTTCTATTCGGAAGCAAAAAGAAGTTGTATCAATTGTTTCGAGTAGAGAATGCTCAGCTGAAAGATGAGAGTTCTGGCGATTTGAGATATCAAAAAAAAAACAAACAAACCTGCACATGAGGGCGAGAGCCTGCTGTCGCTGCACCTGATTCCGCTGACTAGCCATTTGCTGCAACAAAATCCTTCCATTGATATACCACCCCCAATTCTTGATTTATTCAGGAGGATCGTCTCGTTCACATCTCATACCCCCCCCCCCCC